GAGATGATATTGACAATGATAAAAGATTGGACTGGATCTTTGCTTCCTGGAAAAATCTTTGTCCTCTGGGCTTAACTCTAGTTCACTATTGCCCACCCTAGGGCCAGGCTCTTTATCCAGGTGTGGTGGTCAGCTTTCTGTAAAACATTTAGACTGGCATTAGCTGACAGTCACTATGATGTAATGAGCAAAACAACTCCAAGTAAGCACTTCTACATGTTAACTGTAACCCCCATATATATTATGCATACATTGTGTATTTGTGTATATATTTAGTATATGAACATGTTTATATGTGTGAGTGGGAGCACACACATGCCCCAGTGGGTATGTATTTAGAGAATAACCTCAGGTGTTAATCTTTGTCTTTCATCACGCTAGACAGAAGACAACATGTAGTTCTCCAACATACATGCCAGGATAGCTAGCCCTCAGGAATCCTCCTATCTCCTCCATCTCACCAGAGAAACCCTAAGATTACAGATGTGTGCTACTGTGCTTGGCTTGATGTGGGCTCTAGAAATTAAAACTGGCATAGCAAGCAATTCACACCCTGAACCATCTCTCCAGCCCTTCACTTACTCACTTAACTTTACACTGGGCAGATACATTGTGCAGATGAGCAAAGTCAGGTTCAGGAAGATTGAGGGACTTTTCCTAAGGACACACAATCAAGTCTGTAACTGAGCAGTCTGACCCAGAGGTGCAGTATGGTCCATCCGTTAGGGTAGGGTGTGAATGGGAGTGTGGTGGTCAGCTTCCTGTTGCTGTGACCAGATGCCTGAGACAAAGCAGTGTGAAGGAGGGAAGGTTTATTTGGATTCATGGTTTGGGGTATTTAATACCTGGTCACTTGCCTCTAGTGTTTCTGGTCCTGAATTGAGATAGAAAAATATCTTAACAGGGAGCATGGGTAGAACAAAGCTGCTCACCTCCTAGCCTATAGGAAGCAAGGGGGTGGCATCGACTAGAGACAAAATATACCCTTGAAGGGTGTGTTTCGAGTGACTAACTTCCTACATTTATTCTCCTCCTACAGTTTCCAGCACCTTCCAACAGTACGTTACAAACCCTCATGGATAAATCCACTTATGATGTCAGGGCTCTGGGAGTCTGGTTGTCTCATGAAGGTTCCGACTCTGAGCTCTACTGTGTTTGGCAATAAGCCTTCAGCACACATGCTTTGGAGCACTTTTAAGATCATAACAAGAATGGAGATTCAGACAGAAGTTTGTGCTGAGGTGTCTAAGATGGGAGAGGAAGTATGGCCAGGCCAGTGTTCTGCCTGTACCTTTTCTCAGGTGGCTTGTGCTGCACTGGCTCTGGATTGAACTGCTGTCTCTGTGGTTGTCTTTCTCCATGAAGACCACACTGCAGGCACACCTTCTTCTACCTAGGGAATATGAGGCAAGACTGCATCAGTCTACAGCTCTGCTCTGTGCATGGAGCATCTCACAGACAGCCTAGTGATGCTACAATTCACTACACTGGAGCAAGGAACCTTCAAGATCCAAAATTCCAGCCACATATAGCATGTTGGTTCCCACCTCTCCATCCATGTTAGTTGTTCAAAAATGTGTGCATATGTAGGATGTCTCACAGACTTATTTATTTCACACATATATGCATGCATGCTAACCACTCTCACCCCGCCTCCCTACCATCCGTGTCCAGCTTCCCCACTTCCCAAAAACCACCCTCTCATGTTCAAGACTATTCATTTTGTTTTGTGAGCCATTGAGATTGTCTAGGGTCATCTTGGTAATTATGGGTGTAGACTCTGATTACCTCAATATTGGGGACACAACTAAAGAGGTGATTTTCCCCTCCCAGAATCTATCAATAGCCAATAGTTCAATAGGTCCCCATCCCTTTCCTTGACTGTTGATAGCATCCGTCTTGTATGGTGCAGCGCAGGTAACTGCAGCTGTTTTAATTACAATCATGAATGAATGATTTCAAGGGCTGTACTGAGTGTAGAGAGTGGCATTTTGCATCCCTTCCCACTGTCTTCTGGCTCTTGTGTATTCCCCTCCTCTGTCCCCTCTTCTGCAGTGTCCCCTGAACTTTAGAGTAGGTGATGTACATGATTTGTTTACAGTTGGATAGCATCCATCGAAGACTCGAGAGCATTCATTCCTGCTCATGCCCTCTTTTGCAATATCTTGAGCACTTTCTCCATTCCTCATGTATGCAGTGCAGAAGATACCAAGTTGTGCTCTGCAGTGATAGTGTGGCTCTGGTGTCAGTATCCTTGGATGTTTCAGTGCTCAATGGGAATTAATGAATTTTTTGGTAATTCAGTTTACAACACTTTGGTCCCATCTCAGGAGGCACCCAATGGTGTGTGGGGGGCTGAATACTGTAGTTGTTTTTAGACTTCTGTGTCATCTGCTAGATCCTATATGTTCTTGTCTTTTTTTGGTTATTCAATGAAGTTCTGAGGCGGCTTATGAGGCTTATAAGTTTCTATGTTCCCCCTCTTCCTATCAATAAAGTGCACACTAATTTTTGTGTGTGGAGAGGTTGAAGTGATATTTGTTATTAAAGATCTTTCCTTGCAAGCATAAAGAACTGAGTTCAGTCTCCTATAACCTAAAAGAGGAAAAGTTAGATATGACAGTGCATACTTGAAATCACATCAGTGGGGTGGCAGACATAGGTAGATTCCTGAGGCTCACTGGTCAGTATGATTACCCTACTTGACAGGTCTCAGGTCAGTGAGAGACCTTGTCCAGAAAAGTAAAACAAGGGGCTGGCAAATGACTCAGGAGAGGAGGGATTTGCTCTCAAGCCTCATGACTTCTTTTCCTGGAACCCACATGGTAGAAGGAGAGAAGTGAACACCATAAGTTGTCCTCTGACCTCTACACATGCACTATGGCCTGCATACACCCGCTCACCTCTTAAAAATAAGGAAATTTTGGGAAAAATAAGGTGGGTAGTACCTGAGGAATGACATCCAAGTTTGTCCTCTGGCTTCCACATGCATGCACACACAAATGCATGCATGTATACAAATTTGTACATGCTCACAAGCACTGGTATATTTGGGGCTTTTGTTGAAGGAGTGATTTCTTGGAGTGTGTAGGATGGGTGGTGATGATGAAGGTCGTGCTTTGGACGTGACATTAAGGATCCACAGCACACAATCTCAGACACTGAATTATCTCCTTTGAGCATTCTGGGTAACCCTAGGACCTCCTGGGGCTTCAATTCTACACCCGTCTACTCATGCACGTCCTTGTTCTCCACACACTGATGTGTCATGGGCCAAGCCTATTGCACACCGTGGGGATGGAGTGATAAGTACAACAGATTCTCTGCCCTTGAAGAGCTCACAGCCTTGTTGAGATGTGACTGAAAAAAATGATTCATCAATTCAAGAATATTGGATTTCTCCAAATGTTACAGTAGGGAAAAAAGATAATTTTCTCAAGTCTTTAAATCTGTTACCCATTTTAATTGATTTAATTAGATAAAATTCATAGAACTGTAATGCTGGAAGGAACCCAGAAACCATTTATTTATTCCCATTTCTTCTCTCTGCCTTCAGGTCATGCTGCACTGAAGTAATCCACCAAACCTTTGCCTTCAGAGAGAGCAGAGTTTCCAAGAATTGTAGCTCATTGGCCACTGAGATCAAGAAAATGAGATTGAAAAAAATTAATATCTGTAGTTACAAAGCATTTTTCTGAAAGACATGACTAATCATGGAACCATTACACACACACACACACACACACACACACACACACACACCTAAGTGTACACACAATAGAGTCCCCATAAGTAATACTGCTGAATTGAGGCAGCATTAAGAACCTAGAATATAAAAAAATGCTTTTCAATAGAATTTCATCCTTTTTACTTCATATAACAGAGTACCTTTATCTATTATACTAAAAAATGTAACCCGTGACATGTTTACCTGTTATTCCCCTCTCTTTCCTTAATTCTGCATTTCCACAGGTCTCTCTCAGTCTCCAGTTCACAGTAACTGCTATTTCCAAAGTTTCCCTTACATCTATGACAACAGAGATCCTGCCATGCCTGCTAGTCATGATTTCCCGAGGTCTAAATCTAAAGCAAAGTGTTCTGCAAATGTTTGCTAATCAAATGGGTAGATGGTTACATAGATTATCATCTGTAGGATAATGCATGAGAATATTAAGTTGAAGCTACAGAAGCCCTGCTTGCACTAACTCATGTGAACATGGGACCTAGGTGGCTCATTTCCCCGATGGTCTGCGGGTAAGGGGCTTCAGATTATGGCAGTCACGGGAGCTTCAGCTGTGCCCTTGTGAACCTTTCTGTACTTCCTGATGCTCCTTTGTCTCTGTTGACTTCATTTTCATGATGTGATCCTGAGGACTGGACCACATTGGTGTTGTTGGAACGGTGTGGACAGAAATGTGTGGGAAAGGGAGTCTAGAGGAAAATGAGAGTGGATGATGATGAACAAAATAGCAAACACTCTTCCTTGTACTGGCCATGGGCTTCTGAGCATGAATCCTTTCAGGTCTGCCTTTTCTGTGCATGCTCCAGAGCCTGGCACAGATAAGCAGTGTTTATTACTTGTGTGTGTATGTGTGTGTGCATGTGTGTGCTCATATGTACATGTGAGTGCCAATGCACACATTTGCACACATGTATGTGTGTATGCATGTGGAAACTAGAGGACAGCCTTAGGTATTATTCCTCAGGAGCTGTCTACCTTGTTTTTAAACAGTCGTTTACCGGCTTGTAACTTGCCAATATCAGCTTGACTGGTTGGCCAGTGAGATTCAGGGATCCACCTGTCTTTGTTTTTAGTGTGGTTTCTGGGGATCAAACACAGATACTCACGTTTGCATGACAAGCACTGCACCGAGTCATGTCCCAGCTCTTCAGAAGTGTTTCAAATTAGGATGTTTCCTCTGTTTCTAATTCTACAAAGACTGATCACTGCATATTAACTGCCTCATCCTCTGCTTTTCTGTCTTCTTATCTGTTGACAGGATCCGACATCCACATTCTTCCAGTTTGGAGCATCCATCCAGCAGCAAGCCACAGTTATGCTGAAGATCATGCAGGATTATGACTGGCATGTCTTCTCCCTGGTGACCACCATCTTCCCTGGCTACAGGGAGTTCATCAGCTTCATCAAGACAACAGTGGACAACAGCTTTGTGGGCTGGGATATGCAGAATGTGATCACACTGGACACCTCCTTCGAGGATGCCAAGACACAGGTCCAGCTGAAGAAGATCCATTCTTCTGTCATCTTACTGTACTGTTCCAAAGACGAGGCTGTCCTCATTCTGAGTGAGGCTCGCTCCCTGGGCCTCACCGGATATGACTTCTTCTGGATTGTCCCCAGTTTGGTCTCTGGGAACACAGAGCTCATCCCCAAAGAGTTCCCATCAGGACTCATTTCAGTCTCCTATGATGACTGGGACTACAGCCTGGAGGCGAGAGTGAGGGATGGTCTTGGGATCCTAACCACTGCCGCATCTTCCATGTTGGAGAAATTCTCCTACATCCCTGAGGCCAAGACCAGCTGCTACGGGCAGGCAGAGAAGCCAGAAACCCCTCATCACACTCTGCACCAGTAAGAGAGGGCTCTTTCATTGACCCCCAAGGATGGGCCAGGATTTTGTTGCTATGAAAGTTTGGGTTCATAGTCATTGATAGAAGGATAGACTTGACATGCAGAATATATGCATTTACTTGGAGGAAGTTGGTTTTGATTTATGCTCATTTCTCTTATCCTCTCATTTAAAAATAATAAGCAATATAATGATGCTTTTTGAGACATAATTTCATTATATAGCCATGGCTGTTTTGGAACTTGCCATGTTGCCCAGGATGGCCTCCATCTCATAACCCTCCTGCAAGCTCCTCGGTGTTGTGTTTACAAGTAATGATGTAATACCTGGATAATAATGTATTTTAGTGGCTTTCTGCAACTTGCTTTTATTTTCTTTACTCAAAAACATACCTTGGAAACATCCACTTGAGACTTCCCTTCTGTCTCTTTTTCATTCTTTCTCACATCAATCATCTATCTTTCTGTCTGTCTATACCATCTATCTATCTATCTATTTATCTATCTATGTATCTATCTATCATCTATGTATCTATCATGTATCTACCTATCATATCCATCAATCATCTATCACCTATCTATTATCTATACCATGTCTCTATCATCTATCTATCTATCTATCATCTATTTGTTTGTCAGGTGAATTCTTTGTAATATCCATGCCACATTCTTCCATATTCATATACCATGATTTGTTTATTTATTCACTCTTTACAATCATGAGAATTCAGAATTTTTACATAGGTTTTTTCCCCATTAGCTCAGTGTCTCTTTTTGCCTGCATGTAACTGATTGTCTAGCTATCTAGGATTGGTTCTAAGAAGTGGGACTGGGGGTCAAAGATGTGGGCATCTTTAAGTATCTATTGCCAAACTGTTCTACAAAACAATGGCACCAATTTTTATCCACACAACAGCTTGTGGAATTGTCTGATAACCCACATCCTCAGCAGCTTAGTCTGATTTGGGAAAATTGTGCATACTGATGTTCCTGGTCCCCGGCTGAGTCTGAATTTCTTTTCTTCTTACATGCCAAGGGTCTTTGTAGGTCACTCTTAAAGCCACATTCCATTCTGCCATATGACTACAGCATAATTTATTTAACTGACCCATCATAGTGGGTATTTAAGTTAAATTTTATGTTTTTGGGAGGTGTCATTATTCTTTGTGGCCTATCATTACAGCTCAGTTGCTATGATTTAGAGTTATTATTCAGACACCCATTCTGCATGTTTTTGCCTGATGTTTGATGATGTAATCCGTGCTTTATTCCTCACAGAGTGAGCAATGTGGCACTGTGATTAAATGCTGGACTGGGTAGTGATGCTGTTCATGGTCAAATCCTGTCTCCTTCACATTCTTCAGGACACAGGCAATCACTTTTCCTTTCTGCATCTCAAGTGCTTGCCATAGAGTGGTAATAATGGCCCCTGCTTTCCAGGATCGTCATTCTCAAATGTTAGCATGTATTGAGACATCTGGAAGGGCTTGGTGAGTTTCTGGGTCTGCACTCGGACCCAGAATTTCAGTTGTATTAGTAGGTCTGTAGTGAACTCATATAACTGACATTCTAAAAAGTTCATGAATGGTGCTAATATTGCTGTGATGGAGGCCACTCTTTGTGAACCAAGGTTCTGTGGGGTTGTCATGAGTGTGAGAAGAGGGGGTATGATGTGTGAGCAGGGATGCTTCTTACGTGCTGACACCTGCTGAGCATTCAATAAGCATCAGAGTTATCAGTGAAGTCTGGCCCCATCCAAGATTGCAGTCAGCAGACCATGTTGGTTGCCTGTAGAGTACTGCCATCCTAAAGTATCTCTGGAAATATGTGAGCTTGAATCTGTTACCTTCCAGAGTTTACTTGTGAAACAGAACCAGAAGGTGTGTGTGTGTGTGTGTGTGTGTGTGTGTGTGTGTGTGTGTGTGTGTGTGTGCGCGTGTGTAGTGGTGTGCCCATGCCATGGCCTGGATTTGGGGAGTCAGAGCACATGCCAGATGTCAGTCATCACCTTCCACCTTGTATGAGACAGTGTCTTCATTATTTTCCCACGGCAGTGCTGGGCTAGACGGTCCAAAAGCTTTTGTGCCCAGTCCTGGAGCCATCCTCCATCTTTCTGTCTGTGGGATGAGAGATCCTCACACTGTGCCCTGCCTTTATGTGAGTTCTGGGAAACAGGACCTAAGTCCTTAAAATTGTGAGACAAATGCTTTAAACCACTGAGTCCAGGATGTACTTCTTCACATATAACCTACACCTGAGAAAAACGGATTGTTGAATTAAGAAATCAAGCTCATTTGACAATGCCCCCATGCTATTTCTAGGTAGCCACACCAAGCATCTGAAACAATCATCCAAATATCAGAAAAGAACTCAGATAACTCAGTGTGGACACAGGAGCTTCTTAGGAAGTCAGGCTGGCTGCCAGCCTAAGACAAGGGCTGGGCTAATGAATTCACACTCACTTTAATAAGATATGCCTTGCAGCTGGCAGACTTAGAAATCTATTATTTTGTGGGAAACATAACTCAATTATAAGGCAATTGAAATGTAATACATATACATATAGGAAAGGGAATTTGAGAGGGATAATTGCCAAGACATTCGTATTCCTTTCCAGCGAGGACCCTAGATTCCATTCTTTGAGGAGAGAAAAAAAAAACAACCCCTGAGGCTGTGAAGTGAGGCTGTGCTATCTCCACACATTTTCCTTCAGAATGCATCAGCTTTGTAAATGGCATTTTCATCCCAGCGAAGCGGCGTGCCAAGCCGAGTAGTTTGGTACCCACTGCCCCTGCGCATAAGATGTGTTGCTGTCCAGACAGGGGTGGTGGTGGTACACACCCAGATTGTGAGGCTGGGTAGTGACTCACAGTGGCTCCATCCTTCTCTTCTTGCCTCACTTCCCTTCCCTACAGTGCTCTCACAGGCACCCCATGGAGGAAAGAACCGAGCCCTGCGGGGTTGTCCTTGTCTGGGAATTGGAGACACCCCAAAGTGAGTAAGAAAAACTGAGGGTGCTGCATCCTTCTGGCTCCCAGCCTTCATTCTGCGTACCTAGCAAATCTTGTGAGGGCTCCTGGAATATGCAGTGAAGTTACGATGTGACTTCTGTCCCCAAAGACCATGCAGTCTGATGAAAAAAAAAAAAGGAGAAATTTGCCCCCAAATAAACTCTGGGCATAAGAATTAACTTTTCACATCTCTCTCTCTCTCTCTCCCTCTCTCTCTCTCTCTCTCTCTCTCTCTCTCTCTCTCTCTCTCTCTCTCTCTGTCTCTGTCTCTCTCTGTCTCTGTCTCTGTCTCTGTGTGTGTGTGTGTGTGCGCGCGATTGTGTGTGCATGTGTAGATTAGGAGGCAGCTTTCTGGGAGTTGGTTCTCTCCTTCCTCTGCATGGGTTCCAGGGATTGATCTCAGGCCTTCAGGTTTGGCAGAAATTCTCTTCTTCCACGGAGCCATCTTGCTGGCTCAAGAATTCTTTCTTTTTTAAATGCTGAAAAAGACAGTGAATGGTAGAGAATATGATAATATGCTCAGCCAATACGCAACACAGAGAATGAGAATGGTATGTCATGTTTGTTTGAACATTTTTAAAACAAATAGTACATTAGTGGAAGTGTAGAAGTCCTGGTCACTTCCGTTTTCAATCTTGCAAGGGAAGGGAAATCCCTACAGTGAATTCGGTACAGAGGCAATCTGTATGTGTGCTGATGTATTTTCACTGAAGATTCCGACTCAACCACATGCCCAATCCACAGTTCTTTTCAGTGTATCCTAGTGACATCTAATGCACTCCAATCTGTTTGGCTTTCACCTTGTATTTTCAAGATCACTGTGTAGATAATATAATTCCAGTGTATTCATTTCAGCTGCTGCTTTTGTATTCTGCCACGCCCATGCTTCATTGTTTAGCAAGCCATCCCCAGTAGCTGGGCACTTAGGCTGCTGACAAGGGCAGGACGTGGGCATCTGGAGGCAGCGAGCAAACAAGGCTCACTGGGTAAATGCTCTTCGACAGTGGGAGTTGAGACTCTTGAGCTAGAGGTTCCTCACTTCAGTTTTTATAATAATAATAACAATTATAATAATTATTAATTTATGCCGGGCGTTGGTGCCGCACGCCTTTAATCCCTGCACTTGGGAGGCAGAGGCAGGTGGATCTCTGTGAGTTCGAGGCCAGCCTGGTCTACAGAGCGAGTTCCAGGACAGCCTCCAAAACAATATAGAGAAACCCTGTCTCAAAAAAAACCCCTTAATTTACAAAGTGCCTTGAGAACAGATAGCTTTCCTTACTTCTATTCTGTAGAAGGGAAGATAAGGACAATTTTAGCTGAATTCCTACCTGATTCTCAGGATGAGTCATCAAGAGCAGCTTCAGCCAATGGAGACCTCCTTGGGGCTGTCTGTAGCTCCAAGTTCATTGATTTTAATCTTAGAGTTCTTGCAGTTGGTGTTTTGGAGCAACGTACTGTTGCCCAAGCTATGCAAGGGACAGTTTGCAGGAAGTAGAGTGTTCTTGATCTTACAATAGACCCTCCTCTGCCATTATGGTTTCCAATGATGGGGTGTAGAGAAAGGGGAAATTTTCTCCATGTTTTAATATTCCTGGTTTAAGATACTTTGAAAAGAGCAGTCAGCATTTTCCAAAGTTCAAAAATAGCTCAGCCATGTTATGCAACCTCTTCCTTGCTGCTGCAAAGTTATTAAACATCTGCTCCTTCACCAAGCACAGAGCACAGCACACGTAACTCCCAGAATGCGAAGGCAAACCATGACCTGTTTCCTGGTGTGGATCCCAGGCTGTTCATCCCAGTTCTGTGCCAAGGTTCTGTCCCATTGAGGAGCAGCCAGGGAGGCACCCTTAGCGGCGTGTTCCCTGGAGTGTGGGCTGCTGTGGCTTGAGCCCCTGATGCGTGTGGCTCCAGATCTAACACTCTGGGAGAGTCTCTCAACTCTTCCACATCTGCTCTCTTGGAAGTCATATGGAGATAAGGAAGGCATGTGAC